CTGAGAAAGGTCATATGCTTTTCTCCAGTTCCTCTCTCCTCCTTCAATAATTTCTGCAAACCCTAAATTTCTCATTCGGCGCTCAAGGTTCTTCTCTCCACCTCTTCTCGGTTAGATTTCAATTCCTCGATTTTCTCTTGATTTCATTTTCGTTCTTGTTGTTGAAAATCACGAATCTGAGCAATTTTTTGGTTTGAAAAGTTTGATTGAAAGCTATAATAGCAGGATTTAGGTTTCTGATTTTGAATAAATGTTGTCGAATGTGAACAGATATTCCATTTTTCCGATGATTTGTTCGTTGTTCGTGTTGCGTTTATGATTACGAGTGTTGAAATCTCACCGACATCTTGTTGTTGCAGAGATTTGGTGCGATGATGTTGCGTGCTCTTATTAGGAGAGCTTCCACGAGAGGCTCTTCTTCTGCTTCGGTTAGTGTTTAGATTCGTTACCATTTTGATTTGATATTTTTCCGTTGTGATTTTTTTTTGTACTTGATCTCTCTCTCCCTCTGTTTCAGGGATTGGGAAAATCTCTGCAATCTTCTCGTGTTGTAGCGTCTGCCCAATTTCATTCCGTTTCAGCTACTGAGGTACTTTTTATTCATGATTTTCGATTTATTCATGTTTTTTTTTTGTTTTGGGTTTTTGACATTTCAGTTGATTCATGGCTATTCATGAACTCAATCCTCTTAGGATGTGTTTAACCAGTTTTGATTCTTTATGTTTCGTCCATGAACAAGTTTTGTAAGTGTCATTTTGAATTGTACAGACGTTGGTACCTCGTGGAAACCATTCTCGTAGCTTCCATCACCGTTCTTGTCCAGGTTATTATTACAACCTTTGTGTTTTTGGGGTGGTATAGGATCTTTAACTTGACTATTTTTCTCTTATTTGCAGGGTGTCCAGACTGTTCAAGGTGAGGAAGCTCAGTTATATGTATAGACTATACGACTCAACTCTCCCACCATTTTCGTTGAATGTATTATATTCATCTGTGTAGGACTGTTTTCAACGGTTACCAAGGCACAGCCCTGCAAAGATGGGCCAGGCCCTTTTCATCTGATAGTGGTATGATTGCTCTAGCTGAAACTTTTCCTTTACGTGAAGTTATTTTGGTTTTTTTTCCCCAAGTTTTGGAACACAAGTGTCTTCATAACTGCACCATCAATATCTGGATAAAAATGCTAATTGTGTTTCTCATTCTTCTTCTTATGAATCGTGTGGCTCAATTGGATTTGCTCTTTTACTGTTACTGTAACTTGTATTTCTATGCTTTTTAACTCGGTATTTTCTGGTATATGTGATTGTAGGGGATGTCGTGGAAGCTGTTGTGCCACACATGGGTGAATCAATCACCGATGGAACCCTAGCCACCTTTCTGAAGAGTATACTTTTCTTTGCATTATCTTCTTCTTGCTTGTTTCTTTCCGATGCATGTATGTATCTTATATTTCCATTGTATGTGCTTGTTGTTCTTGCAGAACCTGGTGATAGAGTAGAAGCTGATGAGACTATTGCACAAATTGAAACTGACAAGGTATCAAACAATTACCTGCTTTATTATCTCTATGCTATTTTTCCAATTAGATGTTGGCCGGTATCTGGTATAGCTTTCCTAATACTCGTTTTGATTCATCTTTGTGCTTTAGGTTACAATAGATATTGCTAGCCCAGCAAGTGGAGTGATCCAAGAGGTAAACTATTTGTGTCCTTTAATGTTCCTGTCGTTCTTCTTCTGTGTTCCTATGCCCAATTACTTTTTTTCTTTTATGCAGTTTCTAGTCAAGGAAGGAGATACTGTTGAACCGGGAAACAAGGTTGCTAGAATTTCTACATCTGCGGATGCTGTGTCTCATGTTGCACCCTCAGAAAAGACACCAGAGAAACCTGCTCCCAAGCCTTCTCCTCCTGCTGAGAAGCCCAAAGTTGAAAGTACTAAAGTTGCAGAGAAACCCAAGGCACCATCACCGCCACCGCCACCGCCCAAACAGTCAGCTAAAGAACCGCAGCTCCCTCCTAAGGATAGGGAAAGACGGGTATGAAAACTGTGTCATTTAGTCTTTACTTTTATAATGCTCCATGTGTTTTCTCTATGAAAGAAGAGATTTTTACGATCACAAGATTTGATGATATGTCATCTAACATCATTGCAGGTTCCTATGACAAGACTTCGCAAACGGGTGGCAACTAGGCTGAAAGACTCTCAAAACACTTTTGCTTTGCTGACAACTTTCAATGAAGTTGATATGTGAGTTATAGTTGAAAACACATGTTGATATGTTTCTTATCATTTGAAATTCTCTTAGTGCACTAATTATAATTCAACTCTTAGTTCACCAACAAAATTTTCCTTCCTTGTGTAGGACTAATCTGATGAAGCTCCGATCTCAGTACAAGGATGCTTTTTTTGAAAAGCACGGAGTGAAGTTGGGGCTTATGTCTGGTTTCATTAAAGTACGCTAAAAAAACTGTAAAGTTTCATCAACTAATTAACATATCAGAACTTAATCAATTAACTAATCTTGTTTTAACTATTTGTATCAGGCTGCTGTTAGTGCCCTCCAGTACCAACCAGTAGTAAATGCAGTTATCGACGGGGACGATATCATTTACAGAGACTACGTGGATATCAGTATCGCTGTTGGTACCTCTAAGGTTTGTTTTCGCAATTCTTTTGATAGAAAGATCCAAACATTTGAGTTATAATATCATCTTGGGCTTTTGTGGTAATATTGATTTATTCCTCTTCTCTTCTCTGTGTATTGTATCCCAGGGTCTTGTGGTTCCAGTCATAAGAGATGCTGACAAAATGAACTTTGCTGACATAGAGAAAACAATAAACGGTCTTGCTAAGAAGGCTAATGAAGGAACCATATCAATCGACGAGATGGCAGGAGGATCATTCACAGTATCAAATGGTGGTGTCTATGGAAGTCTTATAAGCACTCCTATCATCAACCCTCCTCAGGTTCGGTTCAATCCATTCCTCACTATACTAAAAACCAAAAGGCAGATGTTTTTTTTGTTTGTTACTGATGCAAAAAAAATCTCTCATATGCAGTCTGCTATTCTTGGAATGCATTCGATTGTGCAACGTCCAATGGTTGTGGGAGGAAGCGTAGTACCGAGGCCAATGATGTATGTCGCACTGACTTACGATCATAGGCTAATTGATGGAAGAGAGGCTGTGTATTTCCTGCGCCGTATCAAGGATGTTGTGGAAGATCCTCAGAGGCTTCTTCTCGACATATGATAAAGATCTAAGACAGGAGAGATCATAAGTTTCTGTCTTTTTACCAGTTTCCGTTCAGGTTCAGGTAAACCACTACAGATATTGCAATCTGCAAATGATACTTCTGAGAAAAAAACGAAACTTTTTTTGGAGTTCCTTAATAGTTCCAAGAGTTTTTACCGGGCGAGGAAAGCATCGGTGTTTTAATATTCATATACAGTTTGAACAAAATGTTACAATTTTGACTTAAAAAATAATGCTACTATTATTTATTGGTTAAAAACGATTTCCATTTCCATGGACTTGCATTGTTCATGATAGCCCTGGGCATAAAAACCGAAAAACCAAATCGAACCGAAACTATCCGAATGTTTTGGTTTCGGATGTCACAAAATAACCGAATGGTTCTCTTTCTAAACTATCCACGGATATCGGTTATTAACCGAACCGAACCGATATTCATGGATATCCGTTTTAAACCGAACATAATTTATTTATGAGGCCTAAAGCCCATTTGTCTTCCCTACCCAATTTACCCAACCCATTGCCTAATCCCTACCCTACTTACCCAACCCATTAAGCCCAAGCCCATTGTGTGTGATTGTGTCACAGGAAGAGAAGAATGGAAGATCAATTCAAGGACTTGAAGATGCTTGTAGAATCTAATAATCTTTTACTCTCTCTTTCTCAAGTCTCTTTTGAACTTGATTATTTTGTTGCGGTCCCAAGTCTAAACTCTTAAGTCTCTTTGAAGTTTGAACTTTGTTATTTTGTTTCGGTCTCAAGTTTTATTTGGGTAATGGTTCGGTTATTTGGATAGTTCGGTTATTTGGTGGGTAAATAACCGAACCGAACCATATCCGAAAGTATTTCGGTTATTTTTTGGTTCTCTTCCCAAGTATCCAAACCGAACCGAACCGAAAGCTAACCGAACCGAACCGAACCGAAAACAGTTCGGTTCTCTTATGGATGCTAAGTGCCTAAAACCGAATAACCAAATAACCAAATAACCGAACCGAACCGAACCGAATAACCGAACGCCCAGGCCTAGTTCATGATGTGATGCTAAGTATATGGGTTAATATCATTACGTTTCCGTGTATATATTTCAGAGCTTAACGAGACGAATGAAATGGTTTTTACTTGTTGGGGATAGTCCCAAAGTTATATTTTTAGTATCAGTTTAGCCAATATCATAAACACAAATTACAAATGTGTGACCTCACATTATTTGTTTACCTGTAATTAGGTAAAAAACTGTTGAAATTTTATGACATTCTTAAAGTTATACAATAACTGAAATTTGATCTCACACTAAATAGTTATGGATGTTTTCGATAAGAATCCAAAGCGATCTACACGACTACACTTGTAGTATTAAAGCAATCTAAACATCATATATATTTATGTCCATATATTTTTGATTATACTAGAACTAGATTGATCTCGTTTTATGTTGCTAAATCTTTTGTACTAAGTATTGAAAATTTGAAATCTTAAAATTGGTAAGTGAACGTGTATATTTACCATTCATGATTTTTAAATTAAAGATACTTAAATATACAAACGATTCGATTGGGTGATTTAGGTAAATATACAAACGTTTTTTTTTTTTTTTGTTGAAACAAATATTAACAGAAGAAGCCCAAAAGCATAAAGAAAGTAAAGACAGTCCAGATAGAAAGCCTACAAATAGAAGGCCTACAATAAAATAACCGATTCGTAAGTTTCAAGGAATATATTAACATGCAAAGAAATATACCAATTTATTTGTTAAAAGGGAAAGAAAAATACCATTTATAAAATATAGTCACAATCTCATTCTTACATGTCCATGCAATTACAAATGTAAAAACATTATATTCCACATGAACATTACTCAATCATCACCAAAAAGGTAGATAATTTTGTCTCATAAACCACGCAATTATTTTTATTACACATGACTCAAAGCTAAAAACGACAATCAATTATTAAACGATTACTCAATCGATAGGGTTTTCAATTCAAACGATATCCTCGTCATCAGGGAGTGGCTGAGTTCCCGCCTCTACGAGCTCAGCTTCAATCCTGCAAATACACAAAAAAAAAAAAAAAAAAAAAAAAAAAAGATTAATCAAAAGAGCAAACAAAACAAAAAAACTTTCTCATGATAAAACATTTCAAGTTTAGCTTCATACCCAACAGTTGCAGACAATCAACGTCAATGTCATCAATGTGAGCTTCTGTTGGAGCAAGAGCTGGTGACTCCACAAAGGATAGTTTTGCGTCTCCAGCAAGTCTTCTAGCAAGATACAAAAAGGGTTTCTCAAAATTGCAATTGCTCTTCGTAGACATCTCATAGTACTGCAGACCCTTCTTCCTGTGGAACGATACATGCTTCGGCTTGATTTGTCTACTCGGCACATCAACTTTGTTACCACACAGAACAATCGGAATGTTCTTGCATACCCTGTATAATTAATATCCAAAACCCACATTATAAGTATTTCATGTTTCAAAATATAGACGCAATTATACAAAAAATCAGAAAATAAAAATTTCTTGTACCTGCGGAGATCACGGTACCATGTGTCTACGTTCATGTATGTGTTCCGTGCGGTGACATCAAACATGATTATTGCACATTGACCATGGATGCTACAAGAAAAATGAATAAAGGTTAGCTATTTATCAAGCTGTATCTTCGGCTTAAGTTATATTTCCGGTTAGGTTATGATTGAGGTTTGGATTTAATTGTGTATTTAAGAAACTCTACACGCTTCTATGAAGGCAACACACACTATTTCTATCTTTCTTTCTCGTTCCGTTACGAAAGATTTTAAACTTCAAAAGCTATACATAATAACCTATTAGATTCAAATCAACCATTTTCAGAAAACATTTTACAAGTCATATATATATTTCTATTATCTAGGTACTTAACAATCAGTGGCTAATGTGAAAACATGAGAAAAAAGATTTGTAATGGGAGATGGACGAAACTGACCAAGACCAAATCAAGATCGACCAAATTTACAAACAAGGGAATTGATATATTAGATATTTGTCAAGACCACTTACTAGTATGCATCCTTTAGACCACTATACTTCTCTTGTCCAGCAGTATCCCAGCATTCAAAACGGATCTTGCCGCGGTTAGTGAAGAAATCTAAAGGATAAACCTCCACCCCAACAGTAGCTACAAAGTCCAAAATTTTGATAATCAACATCACAATCCTGCATAGATCATGACCTAGGCATTGTTTGTTGCATTGAAGATCAATCTATATAAACACTTACGTTCATGATTCTGCTCAAATTCCCCAGTCAGATGTCTCTTCAAAAAGGTGGTTTTTCCAGAGCCTCCATCACCAACAATGAGAAGCTTGAAGGTTGGACAATCGACGTTTTGTTCGTTAGATAAAGCCTGAAACAAACAAGATACACACAACGAATTTAGCCAAGAAAGAAAAGAGAACAAAGAAACAAACAAAGGGAAGAGCACTTTACCATCTTTTAGGAAGCACGAGAGAAAGAAAGAGTAAAATCTAAGATGATTTGATGTGATGTGGAGGTGTAAGGGAGATTTTTCTTGCATATAAATACTAAGTGATTACCCGCGCTATTTTTAGACGAAAGTTTTGTTTTAAATTATTTTTGTTTATAACATTCATAAATTTAATTATAAGGAGATAATTTTGTTGTCTTAAAATTATAATGCCTAAAACAATAATGTAAAAAGATATCTTCTATATTTATTTCCCACCCTATTTTTAGGCGAAATTTTGTTTTAAGTTATATACAGTATGTTCATAACATAAATAAATTTGGCCACAACATTAATAAGGAGATAGTCTTGGTGTTTAAACATTAAATAATGATTAAAACAATAATGTGATTTTAAAAATTTAACCATATTTGATTATGCGATTTTTTAATGATATATGTTAAAATATCTATGCTTTTTTCAAATATTCAATGTGTTGCAAGTATTAGATTAGAGAGTGACACATGATAGAATTATAATTTATTGATTTATTACATGTGTCAATGTTGTTTTTATATTTTTAGTATAAATATTTTGGAAAAACAAACATAATTATTTATTGAAATAGTTATAAAATGAAATTTTTTACTATATTAAATGTATTGAGGAAAACAATTTTTTCAAATTTTTACTTGGCTAAAATTGAATGAAAACTTGGAAATCTATAAATTTTATGATAATCAGAAAACATTAAAAGGAAATATATATATATATATATTTAGACTATGAATACAGTTAACAAAAATGCCTATTAATGCTACACCCCAATAAAGATAATTTAATCATTAAACGAAACACTGTCGTTTAGGTTGTTAAACTGGAAGATGCTTGTTTAAAGGGCTTATAAATGGGCCTGGATAGTTTGGCCCAATATTACATAATAGTTTCAGGGGAAAAAATGTTTATAGGTAATAACTGGTGGTGGTGGATGGGATGTGCTGCCTGCACAATGTTTTGGTAATTGATTGTTGGAGGAAGAAAATGTGATAAAGATTCGTTGATTTTTTATATTTGATTTATATGAGATGCTTCTATGAAAACGTTAACAGTGTGATTATTAATTATATATATATATATAAAATCAGTTAGGTATCTGGATAAAAAAAATGTTATGAACTAAATACACCATACACAGAAGAGCATAACAACTATAGAGAAATATTAAATATCTAGATGTAGGTTTCGTTAGAAAGAAAATTTGGTCATTCTCTTTTGGCAGTATTATAATATGTAAAATATGGATTAGAAGTTGAAATGGATAAGGGTTTAGGGTTACACACCTACTTATGCAATCCAAGTGGAATACATGAAAGATGAGCAAAACTATTTTTTTCAAAAAGGTCATTAAAGATGATTTTTATGGTGTAGTGAGTGTGTGTGCCAACGACAACACTTCCACCTTTTCTAAAGTCAACCTTTTTTATTCTATATAAAATCATTTACAAAGGCTCTAAATTATTCTAAAAAAATCGGTGTCTCGTGTGATTAAGTAGTTTCTCTGGCGAATTTGAGAAATTTAAAAGTGTTGAAAATCAGGGGATATTTCTTCATTGATATTCTTGTAATAATAAATCCATATTGCCCAAGAGCATCTTCTCTTGATTCTCTCAGAAATGACTATCGTTAGCTAGTAATTTTGGTTCTTGTATGATAATTATGTCAGTTGGTCGAATTATGACAATATATGTACTTAACTTATGACCGATGTTACCAAAAAAACTTATGACCGATAAGCTTGCTTTAATTTCTTGTATTATATAATTAACTGTTGTGTTACCAAACCTTTTTTTATCTTGCAAAATTTGATATGTTTTTGACTCTTTTTTTCTTATCTATAAATAAGATGTTTTGACTTTGATGCATGAGGTCATTTTGACATCCACTTAGAGTCATTGTTCATCACCGATGCACCATCAACCTTTTGGACATAAAGTGGGACACTTAAAACCTACTTTTCTCTAGATAGGTTATTTGCTTTGTACGGTGTAATTAAGATATCATTCTTATAGGCATGAAATGTGATCACTTCAATCACTTCATTTTTTCAATCGAAATTGTGTTGAACTTTCAGACTAACTTTTAAATCGATACCTCAATCTTCTAGCATAATGTTAACCAGTCTGATTATCAAATAAAAATGTTATAACATGGAAAATAAGTTTTATTAAAGAATTATACTTGTTTTGACTAAAAGATACGTTATAAAACAACAAACTACTTTTCTAAACTTATAAACGAATGAATAAAAGAAAATTCGAAATTGGGACGACTTCGATTATTAATTAGTACTAATTAATAAAGGCGTCGACCTAGAGAACTGAGATGAAAGCTAAGTCAACGTGAATGAACTTGGTCTAGAAATACCAAACTTTGCTTAGTGTATAGAAAGTAAACGCCAACTTTAGTTATAGAACCCAAAAAAGTCTTATGCTTTCACATTTAAATGAAACTCCTTTGTGGGTTTGGTAAACACACAAAAATAATATTAAAACAAAGAGAATATAATAGATAAATGTTAGACCAAACTAAAATAATTGGACTTCGTATAAAGTCAATCTTATGATGTAGAGTGGTTTCCGTACTTAACCTCCTTACCAAAAACACATATCAACCGACGACGACGACTTTCCCCTACTTACCACCTTTCAAAGTTAACTACCTCAAGATTACAAGTAAATGATCATATAACAAACCTCAGCAGTTGTACTAATTAGTGGGAGCTTAGAAAGTGTCTAATACCTAATATATTCTTAATAGTGAATATCTTTGCCGATCTAAATTAATTATACAAGACTACAATGGCCCAATGTATAGTTAGTTTAACGTCTCGTCATTCATTTTCTAACAAACTACTTTGTTAGTTTAACGCTTAGTTTGTGATCTTAGTATTGAAGTACTCATTATTGGGTCGGGGACGAGGTTTAAGATCATCTCATTGCGATTTCAATCATGGATCACGACCGTAGATGTTTTAAGTTCCACGAATATTCGATGTTCTATAAGCTCCAAGGATTCGTCTTGGTTCGGTCCACAAAACTTTTGTTAAAACTTCTTTTTCTTTTTAAGATTTTGTAAAACATTCCAGTATACATGTAAAATATTAAAACCAAATTTATAATTAGCATCATGAAATGATCATGTAGTTGACGTTGTAATATACAGAATGTACTTAATTGACTATGTAAGGAGAGCTCAATGTGAATGTGTAGCAAATTATGCGACAAATGATTAGTCAATAACCGATGCCGATGACTAGTCATAATTGGTGACATAAACGTCTACTATTCGTCAACAAGTACTATAGAACATTTTTTCTCAATACTTTAAAAATTGAACTATATCATTTGTTGCTCTGTAGAATAATCGCCACTATACTTTCCGGTGTAATTATCAAAACGGCGCCGAATCGATTGTAATGAGTAGTAATCTCAAAACAAGAACTTGAAATGTGGCTAAAGAAACGAATTTTCTTATTATTATCATCATCTTTTAGTACAAAACCATCTTCAAGATGATCATAATATAGAATTATATCTTCATGAAAGATGTTATTATAAGAGTAAAAATAATTAATGTTGTCCTCAGGGGAATATTCCAAGAACAAGCTGTCTTGTTGATCCAAGATCCAATTCTCAAATCCTCCCACTTCTTCTTCCTCCTCCAATGACGTTGCTTCAACGCAATTCTCATCTTCTTCTTCGTTACGTTTCTCTATCTCTCCTCTAACTTCAATCCAACCGTTCGTTTCCCACTCTAGTTCACCGGAATTCTCATCTCCGGCGAGTTTCTTGATCCGATCACCCGGTAACGAATCATCCCATAAGAAATTTGTAGAATTTGCAAATGGGTCTTCGTGATCCGCTTTAATGAATCGACTTCTTGAAGTTTCACATAAATCCCAAAAACCTTGATCCAACACAGTACTTGGAGATGAAGAATTCAGACAATTACGAGCTTCGTCGTCGTCTTCTTCATCAAGAAACGGATGTTGAAGCAATTCTTGAACACTCCATCTCTCTTTTGAATCTTTTCTCAAACATTTCTTCAAAAAGTCTTGACCTTTCTCCGATAACCAAACCGGAATCTCCGGCGACTCACCGGTGAAACCAATCTTATAAATAGCAGCAACGACGTCGTTTAACTCCGGCCAAGGACTTGTCCCAGTAGCCATCTCTATCACCAAACACCCCAAAGCCCAAACATCAGCTGGAAAACTCTGTTCTTCACCACGTGCTACTTCCGGCGACATAAACGCCGGTGTACCGGAAAATTCCAAATTCTCATCCTCTACCACCGTTTTAGCACAGCCCAAATCAACGATCTTTGCAATCTCTCCTCCGATCATCACATTCTGGCTCTTCAAATCGCAATGAACAATACCTTGATCATGAAGATACATCAAACCTTTTAATATCTGACGCGTGTAGGATCTAATCACCGGCTCCGGTAATTTCCCGCCGGAATTCTTCATCAAATCGTGCATACTCCCGCCGGAAACATATTCCAGCAAGAGATTATACATCAATTTGTCGTTCTCCGTCGTTACATTAGAACCAATGTACTTGACTATATAAGGAGAGCTCAAATTCGATAAAATCGATTGTTCTCTCTGCAAAAACGCCGATGAAGAAAACTCGGTGGATTTGACGGCGAAGAAGTCACCGGAGTTTGTGATTGCAAGTGAGACAGTAGCTGTTGAGCCTCGTCCTATGATTGGTCCTCTTATCCAGTTTAGTTCCTCCATTGAAACAGAGCAAGAACAAAACAGAGGAAATAAAAAAACAGAGGAGATAGATAGATAGAGAAAGAAATGAACTTGTAGAGAGAAAGAGAGAGAGAGGTTTAAAATGTTTTAAGTAAAGACTTGTGATGATGTGATTATTTATATATACACACACTTTTCTCACAGAAACTAAATGTGTATGTATATGACTTTGGCATGGGGTTTTGGTGTCTTAATTCAAAGTCTGAACACAGAGAGATGACATTCTTTTTATTTTTATTATTATTCTAATCTTTTTCCTTCTCCTCCAATTATTAAGCACCAAAACTTTACCTTATCTTCCACTTTTTAATTTTAGATTATTGCTTTCTTAGATCTAATACAGCCGTTTAAGTTCGAATTTCAAAATGCGAGTCGTTAAAAGAACTATAAGATAAAATATGACTTGAGTCAGTCGCTTGATCATTGGTAAGTTGTTCTCCCGTTACAAACTTAAAGATTCATGACTTAATCATGATCTTGATTATTTTAGCATAGATCTAAATCACACACATATATATATATATATAAAATAGTATCATACATGCGATTTTTTCAAAATTTAACGTTCTGAATTATTCATAAAATTATTTTATTACATGTACATTGTACTTAATTGATAATAAGATCAAAATAATGAAAATATATATATATATATTCATTAGTTATTTATGTTCACGTCAAAGACAAGTAATGCAAGAATGTTAAACTGTTTTTGGTTGGTAGAATGGCTCATAATTCAAGCAGAAAAGTACAAAAAAGTACAAAATGAAAAATATTTTAGTGTGGATAATTGCCCATCAAAGTTTTATCCATCAGATACACCATTCTATTAACATAGTTTCTACGAATGAAAAGTTTGTGATAAGAACTTATGATTGGTAAGTTTGTTAACAACTGTGGTATTATAAAAAAAAAGTAACAAACAAACAACAAGATCCTTATTTAAGATATGTGATGTATGCATATACTCTTGGTTCAAATGTTTTTTTTTTTGGTTTGTCCATTACTAGTATCATATAATACTGAAATATATCCCCAGTGCCGGCTCAACATTTTTATGGGCCCTAGGGTAAAAAAAAATTTTGGACTCTTAGAAATTTTTTTTTAATGTTTTTTGCTGTAAAAAAATTTTCTATGCTATTTTTGTTAAAAATATTAATTACTAATACTAAAAACAATAAATAAAAAATTTTATAGACCTTTCTAAATTTTATTTTTATGTTATAATCTAATTTTTTAATATTTTTTAAAAAATATTTTAGAAAATAGGCCCCTAAATTATTGGACTACGGGATTGGACCCCTGGCCGTCGCACCGCCCGCCCACCCATCTGAGCCGGCACTATCCCAAAGTTATAATGTATTATGTATATATTATACTAGATATGGACCCGTGCGTTGCACGGGTTGCTGGTCGAAATTATCACTTTTAATTTTTAATTTTATTTTTGTAAACATAACTAAAATTATATAAACATATATATTTTAGATAATGCAGCTTTTTAATTATTTTTTAAATATATATTTATACTACATATTGCGCAGTATAAAACTCTATTTGTAGTTATGTTATACTAATTATTAAATCATCTAATATAAAAATTGGCTTATTTATAAAATTATATAATTTTTTTGCTTATTATATGTTCATAGGTTGTATTATTGAATTTTAATAAGTTATTTATATCCATTGGAAGAGTATATTACACTTTATAATTTCAATGTGGGCAAAATGAAAATAAACTGTGACAATAAGAAAAGATAAAATTATATAGTTACATGGCATTTTCAATTTTTGGCTCATATTACTCATTTCTTTGTTTTCTCTCTATTTCTCTCATTAGATTTCTCTTATTTTTGCTTAAACTCCTCTTTCTTTCTCCTTCTCTCCCTCTTTTTTCCCCTATCTCCAGTTTTTCCCTTCGTCTGACATTACCACCGAGTCTCACTACTATGACCCACCACCACAAATGAATCACCACCACCATCAATACCGAATCTCGCTAATTTCGATCCACCACCTTCATCAACATTTATCGCCGCCACCACCGTCATCAACACCAACACCACTTTTATCGCTTCTTCTCTCTTTCCCCAACTTCTCTTATCACTCCACTTTCTTTATTTTCTCCGACATCAGGCTAAGCTTCTCCGACAACAACTCTATTCTATGTCCATCGCCGTTCATAATTCTTAATTTGTCTCATTTGCCATATATTACTTGGATATGAATATCACATGCTATTTTTAAAAAACCATCGTGATTCACAGTGTTTGTTTTTATAATTGACATGATATATTTACAACAAATGATAAATGCAAGTAATTTTTAAATTTTTAAAATCTTCCAATCACCACCTCCGTAACCATCATCCACCCACCTTCATCACCTCCACAACAATCACATGCTACTCCTATTTCTTTCAGTATATGACATGTTATTTTATTTAATGAAATTGTTGGATGTCTCTATTTCGTCGTCAGAATTCTAATATTATTTTTTTTTCTTCAGATTTTTTTGCGTTTTTAGTATTTATTTCATGTTTTTCTTCTCCAAATTAGAATATGCAGTTGTATGTTTGTCTTTTGTTTGAGAGCTATTTTGAATTTTTACATATTTGAAAAACGTTAGTTTCCAAAACTTTTTTAACTCATGGCTATTTCCTTAATTATTTTTGAGTCAAATGTTAGTTACTTATATTGAAGTTAAAACAACGGTGGTGTGTGAAGAAATTAGTTTGCTTGGTGAAAAAATATGAGACAACTTATTGTTTATATAAAGGTGATTTTTTACAATCATTTTTCTTATAGGAATGATAACTGATTGTATAATTTCATTAATCCTTTTCTTTTTTATTTTGTACAATTAGTAACTTATAAATAAAATGTTTAGCACAATTTTATGATTTCGATTTTTATGGAAAATATACATATAATTTTTTTTTTCGGCAAATCAAATATATTGATATCAAAAAGTGTTTACAAGATACACAATCATTTCTAAACAACCGTTTACGCAAATACAGGAAATTATTACAATTTCGATGAAGGAGTGGAGAGTAACCATACTATATTTAGACTTATAGGCTAACAGATATAATCTGTTATGTCCCCCCTTCACACACTTTTTATTGGCTATCAGCTTATAGCTGAAACTCCAGCTTATAGCTGAAACTCCAAAATGCCATTGACACTACATTTTTTGAAACAGTGAAATTAAATGTCATATAATATCTTTATATATACGTATAGTTTTCTTACTATGATCTAACTGTTTTAATTTATAATTTTGTTATAATTATCTTTTAACAATTTTTAAGTTGTTAAAAACAAAAAATTTAGGTTGCTAGATGGAAAATCTGTTATGGAAATATAGGAACAATTTTCTTATAATTAGCTTTTTACATTTTTGAACTGTTTACATTTATAATTATCTTTTTACCTTTTTATTAAAAAGGAAAATCTATTTGACACATGGCAAAATCTGAGATTGAAATATTTGACACTTGTCACGATCTCGTGAGTTATTAACTTTGAAAACCATAGTTTATATAATGTATACGTAGATGATAAAATACACAAAATTTGGTAGAGAGCTCTAACTTTTTTGTGGACCTTTTTATTTATTATTTCTCAAACATTTTTTGTGTGGCAGAGCCAATTTGGGATGCGTCTTGTGTGAATATAGACACGTGGCGGAAGAAGATTGGAAGATGACAGCGTTGCGGCATGACGCCAGGGTGGACGGCGCCGTAACTTCAATCCACCAATAAGAGTAAAACAAAAGCGCAACTAAATTTAAGAAAAGAAAAAAGTTAAATAATATGCGGCCACGTGGCGAAACCACAAGCTAAGTTGCGGGATTAGCGTGGGTATTAATCTATTGTTAGCAAAAATTCAAGTTAAATGCTGGGGCCTTTTATTCATGTACTAATTTTTTTTATACCAAACAACAAAATTGAAACTCAAAGAAAAATTTAGAAAGTATTCTAGGTATTATTTCGTTAATATTTTTTGAGTTTTAGTTGATGTCTTAAAGTTACATGGTGGTAAATAACAGTGTGAAATGTGAATGTGGAGCTTTATTATGTGAAATGTCTTTAATTGGAATGCAAGGTTGGGGTTATGTACAAGAAGATTCTATAGCCAAAAGAGGTTTTAAAGAGAAAGAAGAAGGTGTTGGGAAAATTTATTCGCATCTCTACTTTGCTTAGAGAATACAGTTGGATTCAGATTGTCTTTTTATTTAACTTTCTAGATTGAAAATGATTATTTGAATCTAGTTAGAGATCTTTTTATTAAATCTATGGAATTATTTTTGTTTTTTTTGGCTTTTGGGTGATGGACGGCTACGAAAACAAACGCAGCTTCATACATGTGATTGGGATCTAAAGGAAAAGGTTTTGAAAGAGTGAAATGAAAAAGTGAGAAGTAAAATCACGCTATGTTTTAATAGCGTTTTATTAGTAAGGTTTCGTTTATACACATATTCTGCTTATACTTCTATTATTAGTTTGGTACATGTTTTTTCCGTTGCAAGTTTTTTTGGAAACGTAAAAAGGCCACCAAAAAAAAAAAAAAGGAATAAGAAAGAAAGAGAGATTTCCAAGTATTAGGAATTTTGCAAATCTAATAGTACTACGTAATTCAGTAGCAACTTTATAATTTCACGTTAAAATGTTTTTGTAAGAGATCGATTATCACAGAACAAACGCTTATTACAAACGTCATATTGACTATATATTGACCTTTTCCTAATTACGTTAGCTATTACCCAAACGGTAGAATAGCCTCGCTTAAAAGAAGTGACATATTTTAGCAGAAATATATTGAGCAAAAAATGTTAGTGCACACTTATTTATAAATTTTAGCAGAATTGAACTTTTTTGCGAATGTCATGTGTTTAACCCTATTTGCAAACAGATCTCTATTACTGATGCAAATAACGTGAAAATAAATTTATTTTAATCATGGAGAAAATAGTAAAAATAATGTCTATTCCCACCAAATACCATCTTTAATTTCCTTTTTTTTTTTCAATTTTGTTGGAAAAAACTTGTTGTGACAATGTTTTTTCTGTAACTGTTTTTTTAATTTTACTTTGATTTGCTTCACATAGAAAACCACTCGAAAAAATGAAAAAAACTTATACATTTCTTTTCGATTGATTTGACGGTGAACCCTTAATACAAATATTCTTTAGCACTATTATATTAAGAAGTTGAGAACTATATGAAACGGGTCGGCGGCGTTGAGATTCTTAAGTAAAATAAATACAAAAACAGAAAAGAAAGAGTTTACGATAGAAAAAGAAAGGTTACATCCAACAAAGCAATAACCAATGAAATTCAAGAACATAAAATACAAAAGTTTTAAAAGATAGATTCGAACCCAAAAAGAAGTTTTTTCTGCATATAATATTATTGCCTTTCAATTGAGAAGAGAGGCTAAGTAAGGTTCGACCGATAAGGGTAAGCTTTAAGTAAGCACTATGACATTGACAAGCAATTTATAAAATCTTACGTCAACAAAAGTAAAAAACTCCTCGGCCCTGCTAGCCATTTGCTTGCTCGAACAACTGCACTCTTAACTTCACCCCTACTTCCAAGTTCCAAGCATCTCGAAAGAAGTTTTTTTACATAATAGCCAGATTTGTGCTGAGCATTATCTTCGATAAGCGGCACTATTCCGCCAGAAGGTATATACGCCGTACACCTAACGTGGGGATGATATTCCCCGGTGATGAAAGTTCCGACTTTCCAATGAACTTGGCCATCGATAAGTAGCACAAACATTGTTATACGGAGCGACGGGGATGGAGTATCCCCCAACGAAAGGAGATTCAAAATCCTATTGTTCGAGTTTCTACGGAACATATAAACAATTTGCTCATCAACTACATATACGTCGCAATAATGTGAATCAAATATTTATTTAAATTTCTTTAATATCATTGTAATGCAGAATGGTTCTTATCTTTTCTGATATTTTTAAAAATATATTTCTATGATATGGTCTGAAGTCTGATAATTACCTGATTAACAAAAGCACAGATTTCCTTGTAAAGCTTTATAATGTCTTTTTTCAGAATAATTTCGTAATTAGTTCGCAAAAAAAAAACAAAAAATTTAGTTCTACAACTCAACATCGGTTTAAATACTCAACGTCCATCTCCCCTGAAAGCCGAACAAATCCGATAATAATCAATCAGAGCCAATCATTGACATTGTCAACTTAATAGTTAATACTAGTAGACACCGAAATGGAACTAGAAAGTCATTAGAGTCGTTCAGTTAAAAGAAACTTACAAGGTATCAGCTAACATGGCACGGATTTTGGCTCTTAGCTCATCCGAAACTTGAGTTGGTTCGTTTCGCGGGTACTGGATGTTATCTTCAGGAGAAGCTTTAAGATCAGACTGATCTGACTTTGAAACAGCCTCCTCTTCCACTGTTTTCTCATCTTTCTTTATACGTTTACTAGACTTGTGTCGATGACCATGCTCATCTTCTGAAGAGTCCTCGTGTTTGCGCCTACTGGATCTGTGTCGGTTGTAATGATGATGTTCATCATCAGATGAATCACGATGTTTATCATGCTTCCTGGATCTGTGATGATGGCTACGCTTGTCCTTAGAATAATCAACGTCTTTGCTATGCTTACTAGATCTGTGTCGGTGCTCACCCTCGTTATCAGAAGAATCATATAGCTCATGCCTATCTGAAGATTTGCTGTATCTGTGTCTATGACGTGAACGGCTGTGATACTCATCATCCGAGGAGCTCGCATGCTTGTGCTTGTCCCGAGAATGTCTGTCCTTGGAAGAGTATCGTGTCTTATGTTTATGCCTAATATGCCGTTTTCTACTAGATGAATGCTTCTTATCAGTCTTGGTTTCTTCTGTCACTTCATCCATGCTGCTCTCTTCCTCTTCTCCTTCTTCTTGTTCCATCTTAACATCTTCATCTCTATGTGATCTCGAACGGTAATTCCTCTTTGGTCGTCTTTCACTGTTACCATCATCTGCTAGTTTTGTCTCAGCTACAGATGGAATCGAGCTACTGTCTCTTTCTTTGGCAGCATTAGCACCTAATCCAGAAATCCCAGAGTCCAACGGTTCAACTGATATGCTTCGCGACGGTTCAGCTTGTTGCACAGGGTGCGCATCAGGTTTTAACTTGGCCACAAACATTTTTGCACGTTTCAATCTTTCTGCCTTCAACTTCTGCTCCTTAGACAAGCCTGCTTCAGATGAATCAGCTTCACTAGGAGCAGTCGAGCCAGAGAGCGATTGACCTGAAGATTTGGCCAAATCAGGGGACTTAGATGAAGGGTAACTTCCATCATTTCCAAGGCTCTGAGAAGTCTCATCCATGGGTTTGCCTGATAGGATCCCCAACTGGGGATTCCTTATGCCTCTTCTAGCCGCTTGAAGAATAGCAGCAGCAGTATTCGCATCCACATTGACCCTCATCTGCGGTTGGACAGGCTTGAATGATTCGTTGTGCAACTCGACCTTTGGTTTGTCACTAACAACTTTTAGTTTCTCTTTCTTGGCAGAATCATCTGGTAAAACACTCCCAAACGTATATTTGCCATCTTTTACAGCATTGCCCATCTTCTCTTGCTTCACGTCTTCCTTTCTGGTAATGACGCCTTTGTCACATGATTTTAACTGCATATGAAATCAATTAACGTGTTGCATTATTAGTGAAATCACAAGGTTTAAAAAAGTACATGAAAACACACCAAATTTGTAGCAGGAACATTTTAGTAGCTTGAAATAGAATTACCTCTTCGGCTTCTTGGAGTACCTTCCGATAATATGCATGGTATAAGCTAGCCGGACGTAAGAATGGAAACATTCCGTTTTTCACATCCTGTGCAACAAGAGTAGCCTCTAGTTCTTTCCCGTTCTTTTGGATGAAGTCTACTATCTTATCTATCACTCTTTTCATCTCAGTAGACGGCTCCACAATCTGCAGTTCAAGCTTGGGTTGCGACTTATCAGACGTCAAAAGTTTTTCTGTAGCATTATCTTCTGTATTGATCTGCTTCCTCTCTACAACATTTACTGCGCTGACAGAAGGATTTCTTTTTATGACAGATGCCTGATCATTCAACGGCAGAGAATGCTTAGAGGCAATCTTTACAGCTCCTTTCGACCATTCGGGTCCATTGGAATCAGTTACCTTAACACCATCATCGCCTTTGGCAGACTCACTTGTTTTAGAGTCATTTGCAGACTCTTCGTTAGCATCTTCATCTTCTACAGTCCCATACACCGAACCAAGCAAGAACAAAGCTCCACCATCCTTCTCACTTTCGTTCTTTTTCTCTTCTACAGAAGACTTTCCCGTCAAAAGCTCTTGATGGTCAACAAGAAACCTAAAGTAAGGGTGAAGATGATGGTCTGGCATCAAGAACCCAAATGTAGGGTTGCCTCCTTGTTTGACTCTCAAGACGATTTCAGATTGCCCACCATGTTTGCTTACAAAGCTTGACGTCCTAGTGATGATCTGATGTAATTTCTCAGTTGGAGGCTGAAAGAAGAGAGAAAAAATGTACAAGAAAAAAAATCAGTAATGTGAAATATGATGAATGAACCTTTGGCAACTCGCAGGTATATACATAATAAAACCTCACATAAGTATCGAGAACCATAAATTGCAAATATCAGAACTGTATAAGAAATGCATCATCTGATGTGCACTCAGTTTTAAGGTTCTTGGTAAGTCAAATTTCTATCATCTTATTCCCACCTGCACCGCCCCTTGTCATGGCAGCAAAAGGAAACAAGGTGCATGTGAATGAAAACTCCATCTCTTCTCCGAGCATCTGAAACTTAGAAATGGTAGTCCTTAGAATAACATATGCACCTTTCAGATGTTTACATGGCCAATATCAGTTTTAAGTACAAATAAGTGAGCAAAACTAGCATACTGCTAAAGGGAACCATCTAAAGCAGGAACTTACCAGGTTTTGAAGTAAATAATCAGGCACGGGGAAAGGCGGCTGAAATCCAGATTCCATATCAGTATCTTTCTGGTCACTGACATCACTGGAGCTTCCGTATGCAAAGGGGACAGCGCGATAACCATCGCCATTTGTATTTGCTGAAACATCATTCATATCTGGAGAGTAAAGCAAACCCAAAGGGCAAACAAATTAAGATTTGACCTGAATTTTTCGTAATCATTCTCTACAACAGTTTTATGTCTCTAACATAGCAAGTTCGAGTCTCTCTACCAACTATAGATTAACAGAGATTTCTACGAAGTTCCTCATCCTTACCGTTCTCATCATCCGACGGAGATGGAGATTCCGACGGTAAATCAAAATAACGCTCGTGATCGAGCTCCGATTCCAAGTCAGCATCGTTTGAATTCGGACGACGGCGTTTGATACGTGGAGGAGGAGCAGAAGAGAGGAGATGACGAACATCGTAGCGGTCAATAAAGAGGCTGTTCCAGTCAACGAGCGCCGTCGGAGAGTTGACAAACGTTGCCATCGAATCGTCGTCGAAAAAGAGAGCGTGACGACCAACAATCTCCAGATCCATTGTGTGATAGCAATGGAGATTTAGGGTTTGGGGAAGAGCCTAGGGTAGCGTCTGTGAAATTTGGAATCGGATGTTTCAAATTCGCGATTGACCCCAATGAGATAGATTCGTGATGACTTCAAAAGAGATCTAGTCGATAAAATGACGTCGTTTAATGACTTTTTAACTGCCGTTTCAGAAGAAATAAAACGACAAGCAATCGGCAGAAAATAATACAAAACGACGTGCATTCTTTCAGACAGACGAACAAGTAGAAGAAGTCAAGGACTAGTTTGTTTTTGCGTTTTCAACCCCATACTAAATAAAGGGGTATATTTTTGCCCCATAATCTTTACTTTAATAAAAGTTGTGAAAATCTCCAAATTTAAAGTGATTCAACATCTCTAGTATATGCCTAGCCTTGATGTCACGGTTATCAGCATTGAGTTTTAATTACTTTGATGAAAACATTATGAGCTCTTTTTTTTTTTTTTGGGTAACTTATGAGCTCTCTTTTCTGGTCAAAGCTTTCGAGTTGTATCTCCTCATGATACAATGGCTAAGTGATTTCAGGTTCTCTCTATAAATTTTTGTAATTTCATTCGTCTATGATACTCTGTCGAAATAATAATAATTAAAATTGTTAATGTAAAATGACTTTGCGTGTGGCTTAATAGTTAATGCAACAGAAAGATATCTTAGAGAAGCAATAGATTATCGTATATGTCGGAAAATGACCCAATACAAGGGAATCGTACGTGTTGACTTTTGTGACGTAAAGTGTATACATTGTTTAACAAATTGGAGGAAAGCGTTGACCTCTCTCCATGGCTTTCTTGAACACCGAATCTAATATTTGTGCCTTGTGGACGCCTTTGACCGGTTTATTCAAGAATTTCTTCGATAGTTCGATCATCGAATGTATAGAGCTATATATATATATATATATACATTAGTATAAGTTACTATAGGGACATTCAAATTTTAAATGATTGTTTCAAAAACTAAATCTTAATTGTATATTTATGCAAAAACATACACTAAAAACCAAGTTGTATTAGTTTAATGGTCATCATCGTACTATAATGGACATCATAAATCGGATTCTACTATGCATATATATATTTATATCAGGAATCATGGGTTTGAAACTTAAAATAAAGTGGAAAGTTGTATATATACCTTGTATTACTTTAGAATTGTTTTCATTTGTAATGTTAGATTTTCCATTTGTATTACATGTTTCATAGGATCATGAGAATTTTAGAAAAAATATCATCATCTTGGAAATATCACTACAAAATGGACTATTTATAATATACTAAATCATTTATCGGGTTAACTTCAAACCATGGTACCATATCAGAAGGTTAGAGATAGAACAAATAGAGAATTGAAGCTCCATGGAAAAGACTAAAGAGAATGGAGTTGAGCTTGAGCGAAGAAGATATTTTCTCTGAAATGGAAGTCTTATATCTTACGCCACTTAATAACTTGTATTGTACATAGATTCTATGCAACTTGTAAATGTCTAATAGTTTGTTCACTGCATTTTGAAATTGGAACTCTTTTTCTTTTTCTCTATCTTATGTTGGTAATTAAGAAGATAAATATATTTAAAATGAGAGTTTGGGTTTTACAAGAAGTTAAACCTTAAAAACATTTCAGAAAGCTGAATGGTCTCATGCCAAAAAAAGTATTTAAAACATGGGACCATGCCAAGTAGTATCAAGAAATTGGAACTCTTACTAAATTTTTTTAAAATAATTTAGCCTGGTTATATAATCTTGTAGAGATCGACTAATTAATCTAAATTTTGATTTAAGATCTTTTATGTAAGATATTGTGTGATATGAACAGAAGGCTGGTAGTGACGAAGAGAGGAACTTAGGCTTACAAAATTCGCTCATGTGTTTATAAAATAAAAACTTTTAATTCTCTAAGTTTTGACTTACAAAATCATTTTAATATTCCATTGTTACAAGTTACAATGTAAAAATGGCCTTTCATTTTATTAAAAATTATATAATCGTGGTTGATTAGGCGTATGAGGATCGAGAACTTTAGAATTCAAGTTAAAGCAAGTGTCCATTAGAGGATGTATATAGCTTCAATTTGCTTCATTTAGAAATATAAATTAGTGGTTCGTAGTTTTCACGACAAATAAAACCAATAAGTATTTTTTCTTTTTAAAATAATAATCAAATAAAACTGAAATTTAAAATCGGACGCCTTTACTTCTCCTTGCATCTCGCCTGATTCGTCTCAGACCGTCCCATGAGGCTAAGCGATGGATTCAGTCATGATTCGTCACGCATACGAACGTAAAACGTCTAATTTACCCATCCCTTTCTATTTTTGTATGGTGACATTATAATTTGAAGGAAGTATTAAGTATATTTTTTTTTCAACTTAGCTTGTTTACATATTGGAGAACCATTATATATAACTCTAGATGTAAAAACACACTAATCAACATGGTAGCAATAAAATGAATTTCAAAAATGTCGAGTTGGAAACCGGTAATGAATATAAATGTTCACCACACATGACACATCACATATAATCAACCATATTCCAAAGATAGTTCTTATACAACATCTGGTAACATATTACAATTGCTACATTACTACATTATTAGTACAAGAGGCTGTCTAAAATTATTATGTTTTGATTACGTATACGGTATATCACACATTTTTTTTTTTACTCTTATGTTGTGAACGCGTAAGCAAGTAACTGAATAACAAAAAAAAAATTTATTACTGAAATGAGAAGAAAAAAAGAACACCTCTCCCCAAGAAAAGATGGATCGCTTGAAACCTTACTTAACCTTTTTTCACCACATTTCACGCGTCAACTCGTCTCGATCACAACTATAAACCCTAAGTCCACCCTCTCCTCAATTTTTCACAACTCAATCTCTCTCTCTCTCTCCCTAAATCTCTTCCTCGCTCTCTACATTCACATTAACAAGAAGAAAAGAAGAAGCAGGAGACAAAGAAAGGAAGAAGAACAATATCTCTCGCTCTAACTAACAACTCATAGATCAAGAGAAAATGGCCCAATTCATGAAGTTACTCGTGACAATTGCATTAACAACCGTAGTCATAATCGCCATCATCACCACCAAAACCACCACCAAGACCGCAACCTTTGCTCTCGAAGACCCTTTCAAGGACCTTACGCCACCAGGAACGATTAAGATCAGACCAAGTCGGTTCTTGGCAGAAAAAGTCGACCAGGGTAAAGGACCAAAAGCCCGTAACCCAAACGCAGCTGACCATTGCAACAAGGACAATGAAATCTGTAGCAGCAGCGATTACAGCACCGGAGCAAACGCTACAATGGCTTGTTGTAACAACAAGTGTATGGATTTATCAACCGACGACAAAAACTGCGGTGCATGTAAGAACAAATGCAAGTTCGGACAAACGTGTTGTCGTGGTCAGTGCGTATACGTTGCTTACGATAAACGTCATTGCGGTGAGTGTAACCATCGTTGCGATCTCGGCGAGTTCTGCGTCTACGGTCTCTGTAACTACGCGTGATGAATCAATCATTCATTCACACTAACGAAAAAAAAAAAAAAGATTTTAAGTAAAATATACGATGATTTATTTACATGGACACTGATTAAAAAAGGTCGGTCCAATTAATTATTTACTTAATAATTAATTAAAGTGTTGTGTGTATTTTTGGATTCCCATAATGTTTTGAGGGGTATATAAAGGAGATTATTTTTCTATATTTAATGTCTACGAATAAAATGGAACATATCCTCGTTCCAATATTAATGCTGTTTATTTAGGTTTTATGATTAGAGTGTATAAAGACACTCCAAAATAATATCATGAATAATGTTTTTATACGTATAATACATAAAATAAAATCTCTTTCCTCATAGTTGGTCCCTGATTTACTATCAAACATAGGTTCCAATTGCAATTGTGAATTGCCAAGAAGAATTAATGGGTGGGACTTTAAATTTTGATTCAAAACCCTTTATTTTTAAAAATAAAATAAAATATAGCGTAAATTTTGCACACAAACCCTAACTAAGAAAATAAATTCACTTTGGTGCTTTCTAATTTATTTATGGATCATTTTTGGTATGTAGCGGGTTAACTCAACAGGAAGAACATAACCAAAACACATGACGTCATTGTCAAAGTCAATAGGTTGACTTTATCTGAACCAACTCCCGATGGATACCAACCCAACGGGTCAAAACGTGACAAATCGGGTCAAAATCAAAAACCTCAAAACTCAAAAATATAAGGAGAGAGATCTAATTAAAACCCGTGAACACTTGTTTCATCTTCTTCACAAAAAACCACACGTCCAAATCACAACCTCAAATCTCTCTCTCTCACAGACACATACACATAATTACATAAACACGTGAATTTGCTCTCTTTCTGGTTCACTCATCTACCATCTATATAAATCTGAAAGAGTGTTTGAAACCCACATCGAAAAATCTATCCTTTTTGTTCCTTCCCCGGCGAATCTCCGGGGAAATTGGTCATCGGTAATCACGGCTATTTACGGGATAAAGTCACGGCCTTTGAGCTTTCATGTCCAACGAAAGGGTTGTTTAATCATAACTAATCCTTTGCCGCACGGAGGACGTGGAGCTCTGCCGTCTGAAGGCGGCAGTCCTTCCGATCTCCTCTTCCTCGCCGGAGGTGGTTCCACAAATACCCACTAACGCTAACCCTTTTTCCTAATTAGGTTTTTTAGTTCTTAGTCCTGTATAAGTTTGTTACCTTCGAGATTCGAAAATTTGGGAGTAATGTTGTTGAAGATCAAAAGAGTTCCAACAGTTGTGTCGAATTATCAGAAAGATGAAACGGTGGAAGAAGGTGGATGTGGTCGGAATTGCTTGAGCAAGTGTTGTATCAATGGTACATTTTAGAGCTGGCAAAATTCTTCTTTTTGTTTGAATTTGAATTGGTGCTGATCTTTTGTTTGTATTTCAGGGGCAAGACTTCCTTTATATACTTGCAAGAATCTTGATACATTCGTCGGAGAGAAGTTAGAATCTCCGGTGATGTTCCTCGAATCTCTAGTTCTTGGAGAGGTAGTGGTTTTAGATACATGTTAAAAAGTTGTCATTTTGTTAACCAATTCGTTAATTGTTTGAGTAATGTATCAATCCTTATGTTTTCTAGTGGGAAGATCGTTTCCAAAGAGGACTTTTTCGCTACGATGTCACCGCCTGCGAAACCAAGGTATTATTGTCTCTTTGATTCGTGGTTGATTGATTGACATTTAAAGCCAAATCTGTTTGATGTTTACTTGACCTGAAGCTTAAAGTCTCAGTTCACATTGTTAATGACTTGATGTTGACTTGGAGATTAAGAATCAAGTTTCAGTTTCACATTGTTGATGTTTGCTTAAGCTGAAGCATCTAGTTTCTGTGTTGATGTTTGCCTAAGCTAAAGCATCTAGTTTCAGTTTCTCATTGTTGATGTTTACTTGAGCTGAAGATTCAAGTTTCGGTTTCACATTGTTGATGTTTGGTTGCTGTTGGTAAATTGGTAATTATAGGTTATACCGGGGAAGTACGGTTTCATTGCGCAGCTGAATGAAGGTCGTCTTCTCAAGAAGAGACCAACCGAGTTCCGTGTTGACAAAGTTCTTCAACCATTTGATGGAAACAAGTTCAATTTCACTAAAGTTGGTCAAGAAGAGTTGCTTTTTCAGTTTGAAGCTAGCGATAACGACGATGATAGTCAAATCCAGTTCTTGCCGAGTATCCCTCTAGACGCGGATAATTCTCCAAGCGTCGTTGCAATCAATGTAAGGAGTTGTTGCTTTCAGGTGTCTCTTTTTCTTCGCTGATTATCTGAAGACTGAACTCAAAATTCTTGTAACACAGGTGAGTCCGATTGAGTATGGACATGTGTTGCTGATTCCTCGTGTTCTTGATTGCTTGCCTCAAAGGATTGATCACAAAAGCCTTTTGCTTGCTCTTCAAATGGCGGCTGAAGCGGCTAATCCGTATTTCCGACTTGGATACAACAGTTTAGGGGCTTTTGCTACCATCAACCATCTTCACTTTCAGGTAAACAGAATCAGATCGAATCGTAATTGGTCTATAATCAACTGGTTTTAGTTTATAATGAATTCTCAAAATCGAAATAAACAACATGAACTGAACCAAATAACTGGCTCACCCGTATACAATTGTGATATTTATGATATTCTACTTGGAACAGGCTTACTATTTGGCAATGCAATTCCCGATTGAGAAAGCTTCTTCCTTGAAGATCACTACCACTAATAATGGCGTCAAAATCTCAAAACTCTTGAACTACCCTGTGAGAGGTCTTCTATTTGAAGGTGGAAACTCCATTAAAGATCTCTCTGATACTGTATCAGATGCATCCGTTTGTCTTCAGAACAACAACATTCCTTTCAACATTCTCATCTCTGATTCTGGAAAACAAATCTTCCTTCTCCCTCAGGTTAAATCTTCACAACATTTCAAAAGAAACTTGATATTGACTGCCAAAAGAAGAGCTTTCTAATTAACGACTGTTTGATTTTGCAGTGTTACGCAGAGAAACAGGCTTTAGGGGAAGTTAGCTCAAAGCTATTGGATACGCAAGTGAATCCAGCGGTTTGGGAGATGAGTGGACACATGGTGTTGAAGAGGAAAGAAGACTACGAAGGAGCTTCAGAAGAGAAGGCATGGAGGTTACTAGCTGAAGTTTCTTTATCAGAGGAGAGATTCAAAGAAGTTAACACTATGATATTTGAGGCCATCGGATTTAGTAGTCACGAAGAAGAAGAGGTGCTTGAAGAGCAGAGTTCGATGAATGGTAGCAGCTTCATAAGAGTGCATTGTCCTTCAGTGAAAGAAGAGGCTGTCTCTAATTGAGAGGTGCTTTATAACCAAGCAAAAACTAAACTCTCTTCGTGATACTTGCGTTTGACATTTACGGTTTTGTTGTCTTTTATTTTCGTACTGACTTTGTTAAGTCTTTGGTCGTGACATTTCGAATCAATAAAATTGAAATCACCTTATTCAAAAAATTAGTTACAAAGAGAAGAAACAGAAAAACAAAAAAATCAAATTTCATAAAATTCCTTTTATTAGATTTGTTAATGCTTATTATTTGGGAACCATCTTTCCTCAAACCCTCTATACCAAGAAGAAGCTTTCGTAACATATGTTTTTTTGGCCCTAATCAGTAATCAGATCGACATTTTCCTCTGCCATCACCGGAGCTCTGAGACTTCAACAACTCCATATCTCTCAAGCTTTTAGCTTTTGCTCGCGTAAACGCTTCTTCACCTCTATCTCTCACGCTCTCATTATATACATTTGTCTGTCGTCTTCAATCTTTATTTCACTGATCTCTTGAACTTTTGCATTTCATTCTTATGTTTTCCAGAAGTTTTCTTTTTCTTATTTCTGCTTATCCTGTTCGATTTTATACTAAACCACTCATCTCCGTGACAAAAAGAACCTAATATAGTTTTCTGGGTTTTGTTGGGTTTAAAGCCGTTGAGGTTGTGCGTCTGTTTTTATTAAGGGCATGCATGGAAGGTGTTCGATAAAATGCCAATTAGAAACCAGCAGTTTACCACTACTTAGATTTTTTTATCCATATTCATTCTTTTTAGCTATAGGGTAGTAATATTCAGATCCTCATTAAGCCAATTTTGTAATGTGGATCATGATAGTGATACAAAGTTTGCATTTTGGTAATCTTTTACTTACGAAAATTGCTTGGTTCATGAATCTTTGAGAAGCCTCAACAATGTTCATATATAATTACTTTGTTCATTTGGAGATTTATAGAATGCTTTAAAGGCTGGATGGATCTAAGCAAAACTGAAGAAGGAATAGTTTTTTTTTTTTTTTTGGGTGTGTAGAGTTGTTGGACAATGAAGAAAGGATTGCACCCACAGATGCAATGGATCTCTTATGTGACGCAGAGTGGTAGACTGATGCACGTGATGATGACAAGAATCCACCATGTTGGCAAAGTCTATCACTTTGGAGCTAAGCGTCAGATGGCTCAAAGCATTGGTCAGATTGCCAAGTTCAAGCGTAGGTTTAACGAGCAAGAGGCAGAAGCAGCCGAAGAGAATAACAATGAGAACCAGAACAAGTAGCTGCAAACAAACTCTTTTATCTCTCCCTTACCTTTCCTCAAAAACCAATCTGAAAAGCTTTAGATTTTTCATTTACTATGAACCTTGCTTTGCTTCTCAAGATTGAATTTTACAGTTTGTGTCTCTCTGTTTCGTCAATAAAAAAACTTATCTTGATCCCTTCTTGGCCATGAACATCGTACATTGAAAAGTGGAATGTGTTTAGTATCTATGAATGATATGAATCAAACGAGTAGATGGTATCATAACATCTAAAACTCACTCTGACAGGTTTTGTTACATGACATAACTAATAGTACATGTTTCTGCTCCAAACATCTTGAGCTACGGATTTAACCAACTTGGTGCAAAACGTTTCCCTCTAATAGGTGGGGAAGTTGGGGTTGACATTGGCTGCCCAAGCTTCCAGTCCTCCAATTATATCCTTGGCTGAATCGAAACCCGACTCACGAAGATAATGAACAGCTCTCTGTGAATCATTCCCGCGTCTGCAAACAACGTAGACACTAGGATTTGTGCAAGATCCGGTGTTAACATGACCATCTTCCTTTTCTTTAAGAGCTGAAGTAAGCTCGTTTAACCGAGCCTCTAAGTTTGCAAGAGGGATGTTGAGTGAATCCGGGAGAGAGACAATCTTATAGTGATGCGAAGGTCGAACATCGAGCAGAACATGTTGTTCCTTCTTTTGAAGAATTTCTTTGAACTCCGTGCTGCTAATTCTTGATTCTGCAGGAAGCAGGTTCAATGGGCCCTGTGATCAAATCGATGCAGGTCAACTTTATATATGAGACTGTTACTGACAACCATTGGATTCGAGATGAGAGAAAACAGAGAATAATACCGCAAATAAAGGAAATTGGGTGAAGTCCTCATAGTCAAAATCTTTAAACGTTTGCTTATTGAAAGATGAATTGTCTCCACACACTGTGCACTGTGATGACCTGCCTCTGATCTTGACCTGCGCAAACACTATTCAATCAGTTTATGCAGATGGAAACCCAATAGAGTGTAATGATGAACAGAAATGGAATTAGTAAAACTTTACAATGCGCATCCTTGCTGATAAAGCATCAAAAAGAAGCATCCGTTCAGAGAGTGGTTCTCCCACCATGCTCGCGAGTTTAATTGTCTCTAGCGCTTGCAGACAACCAATAACACCCGGAACTGAGAACAGATAAAGTGGAAAATATCATTTAAAGATGGAAGAACTTGGTAGAGATTTGCTAGCAATAGAAGAAGAAAAAACCGCCATTCATATACCTACTCCAAGAACTCCACTATCAGAACATCTTTGGCACGCTGAGGTAGGTGGAGGAGTGGGAAAAAGACACCGGTAACACGGGCCTCCGTTGTGATTATAAACGGTAAGCTTAAAATCAAAATCACAGTTTAGTGTTTAATGTGTGCCCTAACATCTATAAAGAGTAACACAATAATGTCACAATTGTCATATCACATACCTGCCCTTCCATCCCAAGCGCAGCACCCGAAACCAAAGGCTGTATACAAAATACAAACGCTCAGTCGATACCGGCAGCTATAGAACTGACTACAAATAAACATGAACATCATCAAGGGTAGTAGTTTCAACTTGAAGTACTTAGGTATCACCATCGTTAACAATGTATATATAGAGAGTTCAGAAAATGATTCACCTTTCCTAACAGGACACAACAATCGCTGATCATGTAACGGCTTGGAGGATTATCAGTCGCATCTACTATGATATCATATCTAAATTTACGCAGTTACGGAAACATAGCAATTCAATGCTTTACTTTGAGAAGACTAATAAAGATACAGAAAAATGAGACTTCCTAAAACATTTTTACATATCTAAGGATACTGGCTGAGGATTTCCAAAGCATTGGAAGTGCGAAGAGCTTCCACATATTCATCAACTTTGATCGTCGAATTTATTCTGGAAATAAAGAAAAGGAATTCTGATTAGACTAAACGAGTACAGGTGGGCATAATTTGCTCGAATGCTGCATGATAATTTTATATGAAATCATATTAATCCGCAAGGAGTTTGAATTACGAGCGACAAGCAGTAGCAGCAGATTTCACTTTGGGATGACCAATAAATGCTTCAGTGTGTATAATCTGGATAATAACAAATCAAAAGAGACAGAAATCAGCCAAAGTAGTACTTTCATTCAGCCACTGACCACAGATTAGAGCCAAGAAAAGAAAGAGTTGCCAAAGCAGATTTTTTCCAAGTCGTACCTGCCTGTGCATATTGTTGAGCTCTACAACATCATGATCTATAATACCCAAGCGACCTAAAAGAAAACAACAAAGTGATGACACGGAACATTATATAGAAACTATTGTATGATATCTGTAGATAAATTTGAGGTAAGAGTATGAAACCATACCAACACCACATGCTGCAAGATATAATAAGGCAGGTGAACCCAGTCCTCCAGCTCCAATAACTAATACTGAAGACTTCAAAAGATTTGACTGCCCTATAATAAAAAAAAAAAAAACACACAAACAAACATAGAACAAAACGAAAGAATCAATTTGTGGAAGACACTAGCAGAGGTAACAAGTAATCCAGAATTCAAATTTCTCATACATCACTAAACTGAATCAGAACAATCAAAAAGGGAAACAAAAGAAACCCAATACAAAGTTTTCATCTTTCAGCTCTATCATCACAAAACTTAGAATCATCCATCTCTGATTATCTTCCTATTGGTTAGATTCAAACGTGGAAAGAGTTTGCATTTGAGTGTTTGAGCAAAAGTACCTTCAACAGCAAACGAAGGGAGTAACAATTGACGACTATAACGGTAAATCTGATCCGGAGATAACCCATGTTTAAGCTCCGGCGCCGTTGGATAAGAGTCACCGTTGGATACGGTGTCGTACCGTTCAACCGCCGCCGTATCCTGGAGCTTAGCTTCGAGGGTCGAAATACGGTGCTCTATGTCTGCCTTCTTGAGCTTTAACTCTTCCAATTCCCGGATAATTTCCGACGAATCTCCACCGTTCGACATCATCACGACGATGTTAGAGAACCAATAGTAGAACCCTAGAGGTTATAGCAGCAAAGAAGACGATGTCAGTCAACGGAACCAAACGTTGACTGTTTTTATTGACGCCGTGGATCTGTGTCTTTAACCGGATTTAACCGCGAACCAAATTGGTAGGCCGGGTTGGGTTTTAAGAGAATTCATCAACTTACGAATTTATTTATTTACCTAGTTAAATTTGGATGTCTTTTGACTAATAATTTTAGCCAATATGGCAGATGTAAATAAATAATGAAACCTTTTGACTAAAATTAATAATTATTATCTGACCAAACTATATAAAAAAAGAATATATGTTATGGGAACCTCATTAATAATGGTCTTTGAATAATATGGAAGATTTATTATACATATATATATGTATATGTATATATGTATGTCTATATAAATGTACACCCAAGACCACCACAAATCATTCTCAATAAGTATAAAAATATTACAAATACAAAAGGTAAGTCAAATTATAAATATTTAGAATATGTTCCTCTTATACTAGATTTTTGTTTTTGTTTTAACATTAACTTTCGTTTTTTATAGGTTTTGAGAAGGAGTTATAGAATCTTCCAGAAAAATAACAAATGACAACCAAAATGGTTTCATCTCATCGATTACTTACGTTGATGGTGTTTGTTCTCCTCCTCATACCTATGATTTCTGGTAACACACTTATTTGTTATAAATTTTCAAAATTTGTTCCTTAAAAATTTTGCTTTAAATTTTTTTGTTGATGAATTTTGTTATGAATCGTATAGGAGGACAAATTACAGATAAATGTACGGAGGGATGTAGAAGCGAAATGGCTTGCAATTTACACTGCTTGAATAGAGGCTTAGGGCATTGTGAAAAAGCTATACTTCACGGGGCTCCTGTAATTTTTTGTTGCTGCAATGAGTATTCTAATTCTCCCATCTCCAGTCCGGTCATGAATGATTGATCTCTTATTCTATATGTACTCTCGATTATTAAAACATATATTTAAATCTAATAATTGATATTATCTCATCCAACCCCACTCTCTCTCTCATCAAATTGTTTTACTTTGATTGTGTCATTAGGACATCGATTTTTTCTTACCTCTCTAATCTTTGCAACCAAAAAAATCTACTTCTTTCTTTCAATGTTCCCTTCCAACAATGATTTTGTCAAATCAACCAACCTCTGTTGGGTTTTTACAACAAAGGAAATTCCATGACGTCACTAACCCTGGGAAACATGTCATCTTTGACTACGACGGCGCATATCACACACGTGGCATTATAATCATAACCTCCGTTGATGACACATCATCAAAAGGCATAGCTGATAAGGAAAAACTTCATCTATGCGTTTTCTGATCTAATCTAAAGTTACAAATTTTATTGTAAGAGACCTCCAAAGAAAAAATGTTGAGAAATTATGTGAACCCAAAATCAATCTCCAAGCATAATATAAGATCATGTATATACTCTTTTTATCTTAAGGTAGATGTTCTGATCCTACGTTGTCATGAAATAGATTTAAGTATATATACATGAAGATAATATTTTGGAGATGTTAATTTTCTTTATATGTAGAGAGGAAGTGCGAGTGGAGGGAGGGAAGAAGGAAGAGCTCCTTCGACGGCGGAGGAGTTCACAAGACAAGGTTGTACTAGCCAAACAGTTGAGAAGGCTTTTGACGGAGCTGCGGTTGCGGTAAACGTCTCCGGTGATTCTGAGGAGGATGTGGAGAAGGTGAAAGAGGCGTTTATAGAGAACAAAGACTATAATTATAAGAAGGGAAATGATGATGATGATAATGATGGTTTCCCTATCAACACGGTTAAAGGAATATAAACGCAGGGCCGGCCCATGGGTAAAGCCCATGAAGCAAGGGCTTTAGGCATCAAATAATTATAAGTAGTTTTAGGGGCATCAATTTTTAAAATGTTATTGTGGTCTAGTAGATAGATTGAAGTCTTTTGTTGTACAGGTCATGGTTTCGAATCCCATACATGTTAAAATTTGTATTTTTTTTTTATAACAGCTTTTGCTAATGGGCCAATTTTTTTTTTGCTTTAGGCACTCAAATAGTTTGGGCCGGCCCTGTATAAACGCATGTGCACTTGTTAGATATCACTGTAAATTGGTATATAATAATATGCATGTATGATGTATCATGTATGTAATATTATAGGCGTCATGTACTTTGTATAAATCGAGTAATGGATAGAAGAAATGTTGCTTTTTTTTCTCTTTGTTCTTGTCAACTATTATCTGCAAGTTTATTAATTTCTTTTAGTTTTGTTTAGCTACTATATACTTTGTAGAAATAAAATTTACTTTGATCATTTTTAATAGTGCATCATTAGTAATAATATTTGATCAAATCCAATATTTAAAGCTATTGAACTTTATACATAAAAAGTTGAAAACACCTAAGAAGTAAAAAAAACCTTGATGGAATTTAGAGGTTTTGCCAATTTAGAGGTTAGAACTAGTGATTAGAGCAATGGAATTTGACTGTTTATCATATATTTTCTTAAATAAAAAATAGTTTGCAAGATTAATAAATCTAAAGATTGATGTAAAAAAATGAAACCAATCTGTAGTATTTTTGAAGAAATTACAAAAAGGTAAATTTGATTTGTAGAAGCCAATTAATGGGCCCAGATAAAGCCCAAAATATTAAGCTATTCTAGAGAAACGATGTCGTTTAACCATTGTTGTGCAAAAGGCCTAAAACCCTTGGCCAAACGCGAATCTCAAAGATTTTCCGAGCTCTGTTCGCCGTCTTGAGTACAGTCTACGACGATCTCTTTCACCGGACTTCTCTCGTCTCTGTTTCTTCAAGGTACTCGAACACCATCCATTCCGATTTCAAAACACCTAAGTCTCTGATTGCCTCATTTACATCTCGCGTTATGCTACAACTCCTCTTTACTTCCGAAATGATCGATGTGATTAGGTTTCAATTCGTGATAATTCTGTCTCTGTATCCTTGTTTTTGATTCCTTTGTAGGATTCATGTTGAAAATTGCGTTCGTTTATTGTGTCTATCAATTTCTACGGTGAATTTTGTGTGTTTGCTTGATTGATCTCTTGTCACAAAATGGATTTGATTTTGGAGAAGTTAGATTAATGTTTCTTTTGATTTATCTATACACTGTAATATGTGTGTTTGTGATAATGATTTCGCTATGGTTATTGCAGAGTCTTGAGTGATAAAGGAGACAAAAAGGATGAGTGGTTTTCGAGCTTTCAAAGCACAAGTGCCTATTGAATGGAGCCAGAGCTTGTACATAACCTTAGTGAGAGGTCTCCCTGGAACAAGGAAGCTTCACAGACGAACACTTGAAGCTATGGGACTTCGTAGATGCCATCGTACGGTTTTGCACTCAAACAATTCATCCATTAGAGGAATGATTAACCAGGTGCTCTTTCTTTATCTTTTATCTATTCTCATTTGTCATATTTCCTCTTCTAGGGATAATGTTGGATTAAGAACTGTGATTTTTTTTGGTTAATGCCAACTGTGTAGGTTAAAAGGATGGTTGTTGTTGAAACAGAAGAGATGTACAATGCTCGTAAAGAAGCAGAAGCCAACCACAAAGCTTTGCGCCCACCACTCGTTATCAGTCATTCAAGCCCTGCAACAGATTCATCCAACATGTCTTGAGAGTACTTTCATAAGATGGTAATCTCTTCTACCGTCAGTTCGATAATATCCGCTTGATTTTGTAGGCACCTTAAGTTTAAGTTCTCGGTAAGATGTCCAGGAAGTAACTAGTCCTAGACGCTTTATAAGAAATGTTGGTATCAGTGTGTTTGGTGCCTCTTATGTTTTTGTATACACTGAATCCTTGTGTATGTTTGCTCTCATTTTGTCAATCTCAAATCTATTGGTTTGGTTATTTTTTGTTGCCAGTGTTTCAAGATTGGGATGGGAAGTTTATCTGATTTAGTCCCAGATTGGTTAGTAAAAATGGTGATTCTTAAGAAAGTTACCTGATTAATGAAAGTATTTGAGAGAAAGATAGATGCTGAAATAATCATAAGTTCATAACTTAATATATTTGTTACAAAAGAAGAACCATTAATAAACAATCTCTAATGACAATTGTAATGTATCAAGAATCAAAATTTGAAATACAAAACCTTTACTATGCAAACTACAAATTCTTCAATGCATCCGTCATTCATCACTGAAGAACATTTGTAGGTGCGACCCAAAACATCTGACAATTCCAAGATCTTGGCTGATAGATTTTCATGATTTGCTTACTCTCCCATTCAAAAACGCTCAGATTCTGAGGCCCTAGTCCTCCTATACTTGGGTCATCACCATCAATGAAATAAACTGAGTTGTCTTTGATGAATTCTCTAGATCCTCTTTCACCTGCTAAAACCGCTATACATCTACCTTGAGGGCTCAAGAACAAAGCTTTTCCTCTCAAGCTTATCACCTTTGTCCATTCATTAGTCTCGCGATTGAATTCGTAAATCTCGAAAGAGGTTGCGAAATCACAATCGTCATTAAGCTCCAGCTTCTTTAGAACCACCCACAGTTCATCGTAATCCGACTCTGCAAAGTATTTCTTGCAAGAGTCATACCGAAACGGTGAGGAGCTGCACAAAGGAATAGCTTTTGGACTGTTAGGACTAAGCTCACAGTGATATATCTCTCCGAATCTGTCGATGGCAAAGAAGACGCCATTGCAGAACACAATATCATCGACAGCAGAGGCAACAGATTCCAAATCTGTCCATTGTTTATCTCCGCGTCTGCAGAACGCTAGTTTTCTATCAGTGTTGTATATTACGAGCACAACCCATTCATCGTCTAATAAACTTGTTGAAGAGACTGCTTTCTTTACAAAGTTCTTTAGGGCTTCAGAGTCTGGAAAGATGGCTTGAGACTGAAGCAACCGCTGAACATCCTCAAAAGATATCAAAGGTGGCAGAGAAGTAACGCTTTTGGTAAACGGGTTTCTTAAATGAACCTCAAACGGGAAAGAAGCATTGACCGTCAACAAAAACCCTAGTGTACTGCCACACACCCACGCTTGTTGGTTCCCTGAGAAACCCAACTTTCCCGGAGACAAAACTCTAAATTGATCGAAGAATCGGATATCTTCATTGGAAGAGAGATGGGAAACAAACAGAAAAGGAGCAAACTTCTTGCTGTAGTATACGGCAGAAGAAGAATCCTTCCAAGAAGAACAGACGGTGGCACAGTTTAGAATGTCTCTGGCGTCGTTTAGGTTGTGAAATACAGCGTTGAGAAGCTCCGGAAGAAACTCTGACCACGACGAAGAAGATACAGCCATTATTATGAAGGTGCAGAGAAACCGGAGCTTATGAAATAATGAAGAGAACCGTTCTTATATAGTAGGTAGAAACTTGGGACCCAAGGAAACGTGGGGAGCAAGTTTGACCAATTACCAAAGTCGGCAACTTGTGCGTTTAGTATAAGCTAAAGCCAAATAAAAAGATTCCAAAAACCCATAAACAAGCCCATTAATATTTTAAGATCCAATAAGTTCATGATTCATATAGACTTTAACCAGTAAGTAGAAACTGGTCAAAGTAAAACAAAGCCTGCCAAATTTAATCTAAAGCCGATTCACTAAATCCATTAATATCACACAATCTTATGGAAAACCATTAAAATAGCCACTAAAAGCAGAACAGCTTCAGGCCATTAGCAGCACCACCAGTCTGATGAAGCATTGCATCAATCTCATCTCCATCTTCCATTTCAAGCTGTAAAATTGGAAATTCTTGGTTTAGGAAATCATACAACTCTGAGAACAGTAAAAGGGAAAAGGGGTACAAGAGAGTGATTTTACCTCATCTGGAGTCTGCTCTGCACGAAGACGACGACCATCAAACAAGAAAGCAATTGAGTTGAAATCCACAGACTGACGGTCACAGTAAGCATTCATCAGCTTTTTGAGCTGAGTGCTTCTCTTGATCCTAAAAAAGACTTCATTACCATCCTAAGTATCCACAAGAAAAATATTGATGATTTGTTACTTCAAGAAGAGTATATCTCGATAAGAAAACTGTATATTATATAACCAACCAATAACTAACAACGAAAAATGCCTAACAATGAGTACTGATACATAAGCAAAACAAATCACAACAGTACAAATTTCCATTGCAACGAATAGATGCTCAATACTTCAAAAGCATCACTACAAAAAGCTTTAATGAGAGTTCATGGTTATAATTTGCTTAAGCTTAGTCACAACACTGCAAGAATTTATTCGAAGATAATCACTATCTCATCAAAAAACACACACACACACACACATTCAAGCTTTTGTTATGAACAAACAAGTTCTGTTTGCTACAATTATGACAAAACATAATTCACAAATCTCAAATAAATTTTGTTTGCTTCAAAGTTTCAATTTTTTAAAAGCCAATTTAAAAGTCACGCTTACACAATAATCACTACATATATAAACAACGCATACACAAGCTTACCAATTTTAAGAACAAAAACTGGGGATAACGCAGACAAACCCAAAACCCTAGAATTGAAAGCAATCAGAAGCTAAAAAAACCCTAATCACACTCAAAACTTGAACCAGACAAAGAATCGTTACACAATGCAAGAAATAGAAAGCGAGAGAGAGAGTGAAAAATACAAAACCTGTCCCTTGACTTTGAGATTGATGTGAGCTCCTTGGTCAGGCTTCTTGTCTTCTTCCTGAGTAGCAGACATCTTACTTTTATCAGATTATACGGTCGGCGATTGGAAACAAAAACTCCGATCTGCGATATAGACGAAGCCCTAAGAGAGATTCGCGGGATTGCAGAATTGAGAGGGTTTGATAGAGAGAGAGAGAGAGAGATAGAGAGACTCGGCAGAGAATAAAAAAAGACTGAAAAAACACTATCTTTGGTCGCATCGGATTCTTGTTTATCCAACGGTTCATAATCATTGATCGTCTAGCATCCGACGGCTGTGAGTGAGTATATCCCCTAACTTAAAACGCTGTCGTTTTAGCATTCACGATGGGCTGATTATACCAAATGGGCTGATTACTTTTTTGATAACGTTTAAAACCTTTTTGTGGGAACGAACCTACCCAAGAATTTTAAAATTTGTGTCAAAGTCTCAGCTTTCAAGTATAGAACCAGAGATGTTGTTACTTTGACTACTTTCTTCAACATAGTTTTGTTGTGTGACTTTTAAAATTAACCAACTTGAGTTGAGTTGTTTAGTCATGGTTCTAAAGTTAACAAAGTACAAAGATTCTAATAAATCCATAACCAGATCCCATTAATATTATAAGATCCAATAACTACCGAGTCATGATTTACACACACGATAACCGATCATGAGTTACGAGTCATTATTTACACTTCAAGTGATGTTTCTTGAAGAAAGTAGTCAGAGTAACACAAAGCCTGCCAAATTATCCCTAGAGCCGATTGTGATCAAAAACCATATAAGACCACTGACGCTGATCTGCTCGTAGACCATGATCTGCTTGTAGACCACCGCCTTGTGAGTGGCACGCATAGATCACATCTCCATCTTCCATATCAAGCTGTAAAATTGGAAATTATCGCTTTGGGAAATCATACAGTTTTGAAAAAAACGGAAAACAGTAAAAGGGAAAGGGGTACAGAGAGTGATTTTACCTCATCTACAGTCTGCCCTGCACGAAGACGACGACCATCAAAGAAGTAAACAATTGAGTTGATATCCTCAGATTGACGGTGACAGTAAGCATTCATAAGCTTCTTAAGCTGAGTGCTTCTCTTGAGCCTAAAGAAGACTTCATTATCATCCTAAGTATCCACAAGAAAAATATTGATAATTTGTTACTTCAAGAAAAGTATTATCAACGATTTTCTCGATAAAAAAAAAAGTATATTATAACCAACCAAGTACCAACAACGACAAATGCCTAACAATGAGTACTACTACATAAGCAAGACAAATCACAACAGTGCAATTTACATAGCAACAAAAAGCTTTCATGAAACAAATGCTCAATACTCCAAAAGCATAACTACAAAAAGCTTTAATGAGAGTTCATGGATATAATTTGCTTAAGCTTAGTCAGAGCACTGCAACAATTTTTTCGTAGATAATCACTATCTCATCAATACACCCTCGCACCTACAAGAGTTTTGCTACGATTATGACAAAACATAACTCACAATTCACAAATAACTTTTGTTTGCTTTAAAAATCAAAAATTTTAAAGCCAATTTAAAAGTCACGCTTAGACAACAATCACTAACTATATAAACAACTCATACACAAGCTTACCAATTTTAAGAACAAAAACTGGGGATAACGCAGACAAACTCAAAACCCTAGAATTGAAAGCAATCAGAAGCTATAAAAACCCTAATCACACTCAAAACTTTAACCAGACAACGAATCGTTACACAATGCAAGAAAGAGAAAGAGAGTGAGAAATACAAAACCTGTCCCTTGACTTTGAAATTGATGTGAGCTCCTTGGTCAGGCTTCTTGTCTTCTTCCTGAGTAGCAGACATCTTACTTTTTATCAGATTATACGATCGGCGAAGGAAACGAAAACTCCGATCTGCGATATAGACGAAGCCCTAAGAGAGATTCGCGGGACTGCAGAATTGAGGGTTTGATAGAGAGAGAGAGAGAGAAAAGACTCGGCAGACGGGCAGAGAATAAAAAAAGACTGAAAAAACACTATCTTTGGTCGCATCGGATTCTTGTTTATCCAACGGTTCATAAATCATTGATCGTCTAGCATCCGACGGCTGTGAGTGAGTATAATCCCCTAACTTTAAAATGCTGTCGTTTTAGCATTCATAATGGGCTAATTACAAATGGGCTGGTTACTTTTTGATAACGTGTAAACCCTTTTGTGTCAAAGATTCTAATAAAAATCCATAACCAGATCCCATTAATATTATAAGATCCAATAACTCATTAAGTTATGAGTCATGATTTACACTTCAAGTGATTTTTCTTGAAGAAAATAGTCAAAGTAACACAAAGCCTGCCAAATTATCCCTAGAGCCGATTATGATCGAAAACCATATAAGACCACTGACGCTGATCTGCTCGTAGACCACCACTCATCGCCCGGCACGCATCGATCTCATCTCCATCTTCCATATCAAGCTGTAAAATTGGAATATACAGGGTTTGATACAATTTTGATTAACAAAATAAATTGTGAAAAGGAAATGATAAAGAGAGTGATTTGCCTCATCTGGAGTCTGCGTGCCACGGATACGAGCTCCATCAAGCATGAAAGCGAATGCGTCTAATTTCAAACCTCGGCGGTCGCAGTAAGCGTACATGAGCTTTCTAAGCGGAGTGCTTTTCTTGATCTTAAATAAGACTTCATCTCCATCCTTAAAATCACCAATCAAGAAAAAGATTTTAATCATTCTTACTTCAAATCGTCACAGTTTGCAAAAGATCGTGTCAGGCCCGGCTCATGCACATGGTCCATCTTTTTTTTTTCAACTAAATTTATTAAAATTAGGATCCAAAAATTTTTTTACAAAAAAAAACAGGAAATAAAGGCCAATTATTTTTTTCAGCTCAGGATCTTTAATTTTTTTGAGCCGGCCCTGGATCGTGTTATCAAAGTTTTTGTATAAAGAAACTGTATATATAGTATCACTATCACCAACCAAGCACCAACGACAGATAATTGCAATAAAGAGAGAACAGAGTGAAAAAAACCTGGCTCTTGACCTTGAGAATGACATGAGCTTCTTGTTCTTGGTCGATGGGATTCTTGTCATCTTCTTGAGAGTTAGACATCTTTCTTTTATCAGATTTTCCGAGACAATAACTCCGGTCTGTGAGAAAGACGAAGGCTTGATAGAGAGATTCACGATTGCAAAATGAGGGGTTGACTTTTGAGAAAGAGAGACTTCTGATAAAAATGACTGAAACCTGTTTTTGGTCGCACTCGCGTTAGAGTAGCCCCAACGGGGTTAATTTATCTAACGGTTCATAATCTTTGGTCGCTATCATCCGACGGCTGGGAGAGCGTAGAATCCGTACTTGAAAACACTGCGGTTTTACTCAAGCATTCGTAATGGGCTATTGGGCTGATTGAAGATCAAATATGCTCAGACGTGGGCTTAATTACTCTAGACAGTCAGTATTTGGAAATTGGAACCAATTTTAGTGAACCGACCAAAGAGTTTTTAGAGAAAAGTTTTATCAATTTTCTTATATATCATATTTAAAAAAATAAATATAATTACCACGATAATCAAATCATTTCAAAAATACCACAGTTAGAATCATTTCAAATCATTTCAAAAATAACATTATTGGGAGGTGCTTTATTAGTGTATAAGATTGGTTTAATGTAAACTGATAACCGAGTGTGGTTATCTCAGTTAACCGGAACTCTCCCCTATAAATAGAGGGTTCCATTGTAACAAACTTTTCAAGAGAGTATAACAGAATTTCGTTATCTTCTTCGTTTCTCTCTTGAATCTTTCTACAACTATCATGGTATCAGAGCGTTGAGTCAGAAAACTCAACAATTTCGATCAAAATTCTATGGATCTTCGAGTTTTTCCTTCGCAAATCTCATCGATTCTCTCATTTTCACTTTCTTCTCCGATCAATTCTTCATAAATTCAGCTGAAAGATCTTGCGATGGTTTCCGTTGAGAAATTGCGGCGTCGTACTAGAAGATCTACTAAGAATTCAGCTGAGAAGACTCCAGATCGTGTTTCTTCTTCACCGATTCCACCGATTTCACCTCCGATTCAACCAAATTTCGTATCAAGACCTCCGATTCATCCTTTACCACAGTTTGACTTCACGGATGCTCATTATTCGCCATTTGCTCTGTCAAACAGCGATAGTCCTGGTAATACTCTAGTCTCTGAGGTACTTGATGGATCTAATTTCTCGTCTTGGAAGATTGCGATGTTTGTTGCTTTGGATGCTAAAAACAAGATTGCGTTTGTTGACGGTACTTTACCACGACCTCCTGAATTTGATCCTAGCTTTCGCGTTTGGTCTCGATGTAACAGTATGGTTAAGTCGTGGATATTGAACTCTGTCACCAAACAAATTTACAAAAGTATATTGCGATTCAATGATGCTGTAGAAATTTGGAAAGATTTGATTACAAGATTTCATATTACGAATCTTCCTAGATCTTATCATTTGACTCAGCAGATATGGGGATTACAACAAGGATCTATGAGTCTCTCTGAGTACTATACATCATTGAAACATTATGGGATGATTTGGATGGTGCTAGTTGTGCGGATACTTGCCAGAATTGCAAATGTTGTGTAGCTACTGCTTCTAAGGCTGATCATGCCAA